GCACCCGTCGGCAAGTCACAGAATCACCGAAAGAAAACAAAACAACAAAACAATTGTGCAAGGCTCAGTCCATCGTTACTGTTTGTCCTCCACCAAAATAATGTGATAACCAAATGAGGTCTTTACTGGCTCCGGTGTCATGCCACCCTTTGGCAAGGCAAAGGCAGCATCTTGAAAGGGGCCAACCATTTCGCCACGCCGCTTCCATCCCAGATCCCCACCGCTGCGAGCTTTGTCCTCGCTGTACTCCCGTGCAACATCAGCAAAACTTGACCCTTCGTTAACCTTATTCAACGCCTCCAGGGCTCGGCTGTACTTCTCACAGAGGATGTGACGCACCTTCACCTTGGTGTATCCTGACCCACCAGAGGTGTCCTTTGGTGCCTTGCCGCCACCACTACTCTCACCGTCCTTGTTGCTGGCCTTCTTCTTCTCCTTACCCATTTTTTTTTCTTTCCTTTGCTTCCACAAAATTGAAAAGCAATGGAGCAGGGACTTGAGAGAGAGAAAGAAATCTGTCTGGAACTCCTTCCTACACAAGAGCCAGCAGACGCAGCATTCTCAGAGGCGGCAGAACCCCGCCCAACGCTTCCCTGGTCCGCCTCATCTTTCCTGCCTTTCTTTCACTCCCTTCCGCTACCCCCCCCACCCCCCACACACACACACACGGACTCGCAGTGGCCCTCTATCTAGCAATCTTCTTTAAATCTATTTCTGACACACACGTTAAACACAACGTCTAGCGACGCACCCTTCGCTGACGTGTCACCATCGAGTTGATGCCAAATGTCACATCAGTCTCTCTTTCGCGTTTCCTTTCCATCTTGACTGCTGACGACACTACCTCAGAGCCCTCCTCTGGCGGCACACCTCGAATGGTCTGGCAAACAAATTTAGCAATGTCACTGTCAAGTATTTTCTCTACGGCACGCTCTCGTATCTCCAACGCCTCTTGCCACTTCGCCACGTTGGCATCGTTGGCAGCTACATCACTGTCTGTACATGGCGGGAAACGGGCACACACGTCATCGTGCCACTTCTGCAAACGACTCTGTAGAGTACTGCACATTGCATTAAGGGCGCGGTTAGCACAGAAAAAAAGCCAGCTGGGTGTCTCCTTCGCGTAGAAGTACATGCGCTTCTCCAAGGTGTCAAGACATGCCTCCGCCGCCTCTCCAGAACCTGTTTGTGCAAGTTCAATAAGGAGTTCACTGGCAATGTACTCGTGCAGGGAAAACCGACTTAGCTCCCGCAAGAGACGACTACATCGTGTAGAAGTACGCGTCGCTGTAGAGCGAGCCGAAGCGTTTTTATTTAGTGTAGAATCTTCCATAGACGGATTCCCTCCTTCGGCCAGACGTGCAACCTGCCTTGCCGTCGCTGGATCAATCTCACGAATCTGCACAAGGACATACGCGTCAGAGAGTCGCGTAACAACCTCCATGAGGTGCATGGCAACGACAGGATTGTGCCGTAAGAGTGCCGTAAAGGCAAGCATGCCACCCTGGGCAAATGCCACTTGCCGGTTTGGATGACTGGATGCAAAGCTGTAGAAAAATTTGTTTAGAAAATCTATCATGTACGCCGCACGGACATTACCCTTCTCCTCCTGGCGGTATGCCACGTAATGCATCAAAATATCAGCAAGGATTTCCCGCACCTGAGCATGAGGAACACGATTGCAGCTAAGCAGCTTGCAAAATCCAACCACAACCATTGGGTTCCGCTCAGCACAGTGCGAGCGCAGAAACGAGCGTAACGTGTTTAGAATGTTGTTGCCACCCACTTTATGTTCATCTTCCTGAGCGAGAGCACGCTCGTGATGCAAGCGTCCATCCATGTCACCTGCAGTGAGACCAGCTCCACCACTAGACGAGAAAATATCCGTTGCAGTCGTTCCTGCTGTATTTGTGGTGGTCGTCACCGTACCCAATTCCGCGGCACCGGCATGCATATAATGGCTACTGTGACCAGCGTCACGTGCAGAGCAGTCAAAGAAGCGCAGGCCGTATTCCATCACCAGATCAAAGACTACCCCCAGAGCCGCAAGCGCGACACATCGATCTGAACTCCCCACAATTTCATTCGCATCACTCAAAATGAGTGGCATAAACGTATGCACGGTGTCAGGGTTGACGAGGCACTGCAGCCCCAGTGACGTGGTGGAAGCAACCTTCACAGCCTCATTATCCTGCTGTCGACCCAGCTGGATAATGTGGGAGCAGAAGGTGGGAATGGTGTCCCCCCGTTGAGAGTGGGAGAGAAACGCCAACACAATAAACTGCATACGCAGCAAAAACTTCTCGTCTCTGTCCATCTCCTCCTTTAGCTGATCGTACTCTTCCTGGGATGTCTCCCCGCCGCGAAGCTTCATACGAAGGCGGAACAACTCTCGTTGTCGCTCTCGGCTTTTCCTTCCAAACGCCTCCACATCGTCGTAGCCGAGAGCGTACTTTTGTGGCAACTTCAGGCTGCGAAAGAGTGAATCGAGTGAAGAGGTAATTGTCTTCGTTGCCTCCTCTGGGGTTCGTCCTGTCAGCGACTTCAGTGAGCGGACAGCCACGTCGACAAACAGTGCGGGGTCGTCATCCGGGACCACCTTGAGAAGAAACCCAATAATGCGCAGAAGACTGCTGCGGGTGGTGTTATCAGCGTGTGCCAAGTAACCGTTTTCCTCATAGACATCAAAAGCAGAGAGGAGGATGCGCAAAATAATATCCACCTCGTCCATATTCTTGAAGTTCACCGTTTTGGGATCTACGTCAGGCCGGGCGTAGGCGTACACGGTCTCCTGCAGTAGCGTGCTAAACTGTGGCAGTGGCAGCAGGACAGCCGTCTCATCATCGCCTTCTGTATCCGCCGCCAGCTTCGCATTCGCCTTCCAAAGTAGAAGCGATGCAGCACTCACGGAATCAAAATTCACCACATGCGTCTTTGCATTCCTGTGCTTGCGGCAGTACAGCAGCATATCGGTGGAGAGCGTCTCGTACGGCTCAAGTCCGCCTCTGCCGGTGAGAACGAGTTCCAGCATGGCCTCGCAATCGTTCCTGTAGTCGCGATGTAACCAGCAGTTCGTCAAGGCTGCTCTGCAGGCGATGACTACAGAGCTACTTGCGTCGGAAAGGCCTTGATGAATCAAATCGGGTAAAAGGATGTTCTTTGCCGTGGCATAGGCAGCAAGATATTTCCAATGAAATCGGCTAAGAGCATCCCAAGCCTCGGCCCGTACACGCGACACAACGTCACGCACGCAGCGAATCATTCCATGAAAATAGCCCTCAAGGAACTCTTTTCGTGCGCATATGCACCGGAGTATCTGGCGCCGCACATCAGCAGAATTATCTGTGCACAACAGTGCCATAAGTTGTTGTGTAACGTCGCAATCTTTCTTGCCTGACTGAAAGCACGAGACGGCAGAAACAGCCCGCTCACGTACCGCTGGAAATTTGTCATGAACCCGTAGTTTCAGCATCTCCGCCACATTCTGGTAAAAGTTCTGTCGTTCCTCCGAGGTGTTGGTTTGATCCACGGTCTTCAGTAAAGCATCAAACACAGAAACAACACCAAGACGCACAGTCTTGTCGTTGGCGTTGTGAAACGGCTCCACGGTTCTCATCAAAGCAACGGCAATCTCGTCAGATTTAAAATGCTCGCGAAACCCCTTGCACACATCTGTAAGAAAGCTGTGGTGACGCTTGAGGGAGTCCGATGCAAGCCGCGGGGATTCCTTCAACACAAGTAGCGCCACGCGGCACACGGCGTCTATGATGCCTGTACAATTTGCATCGGCATAGGCTAGTAGTTTCGTCCTGCATTTATGAAAGTGTGCGGCGCTTTTGTGAATCTGTTGAAATATAAGGCCCACGTCCTCGACGGCGCAGCACGCGCCCGCCACCTTCCTGGAGGGCATACTTCCTTAGCCAGCAATCCACTAGCGCACTGGTGCCTCTCTCTCTCACTCGCGCGCAGCGAAAAAAAAAATATAATAATAATAAGACAAAAACCACCCGCAACAAACAAAAGAACAAGGTAAGAAACATCGCCTGCAGTGGGAGCGCAGGCACACAGCACCTCTCAAGTAATAAACGCACGACACATATGAGCAGAACAACGACAAAACAATACTACACATCGACAGGCAAATATCATATTATTATTTTTTTCTTTTTGTTGTTTTGCCGTTTCCTTTGTGTGCACATTGCTGCGTAGCAAAAAAAAAAAAAAATGTACATCGCACGGGAAACCAGTGAGGTACAGGTGCTACACGGAGGCGTCGAACTCCTCTTCCCACTTGGTGGAGTAAAACAGTTGACGTCTGAAGTAAAACGCCTCCGTGGTACCTTCTTTGGCCATTTCCTTCAGATACTTGTGTGTAAAGTCACGAACCGCCTTTACCTCCGCCGCGAAGTGTGTGCAGAGCACCACATTCTTTAAAGTGGCCACTACGTTGGGGTGTGGCTCCCGCTCCGTACGCCGCGACAAATTCACACTATCGTTGATGCTGCGAAGAAATTGGTAAAGGGTCTCAATACGGGAGGTATCCCCGTTGAGTGGCTCAAGGCTCCGCATCTTCACCGAAAGTAGTTTGTAGACCGCCGATAGCGCCCCGGTCAAGGCCCGGAATAGTGGGCCAAGCAACCAGAGTGGACGCTTGTGCACCACGCCAAACAGCCGAAAGAGATCGTCGGCGACGCCAAGCTCGTCCAAGTGTTCCACACCGCGCTGCTCTAGCGCAACATTCCACATGACGATAAGAAGTTGAGATACAACCCGTATTTTTTCCTCCTCCACCAGCCAGTGGGTGTCCAAGGTGTAACTGCGCAAAAGGGAGCTAACCACTGTCACAGTGTTTCCTTGTAATACGGCAAAAATTCCCTCCGTTACTGCCGTCAGTTGAGCGAGCGAGGTGATCGCGTAAAGCAGCATGTCGAGAGCCGTGTGGGCATCATTTTTCACAACGAAGACAAGAGCCGCAATGACATCGTCCTTAGTCATCACCAGCGTCGAGGAACCAGCGGTGTTGTCTAGTAACTCAAACCCAGGTGGCACATCCGCCCCCAATAACCAACGAACACCCGCCGTGTTAAAGCTGATCTGGTAAAGCACCATTACTGCCATCGTTCTCGCGTCAAGGCGTGCCTCGAGATTGGATTGATCATGTATAGCTCGAATGGCAGCCTCTAATCCACCCTCGCCTATAACACTATGACACCCTTGCGGAAGTACACAAAGCGATCGCAGCAAACTAAACGCCTGAGACTCAAAGTCCGCATCTGGCGTATTGTTCAACGCGGCAACAACAACAGGCACAATGCTTTTACGCAACAGAGTTATCTTCATCTCTTGAGAGGCAGAGTGGGCAATAAGAAGACGTAACGTCCTCACACGCTGCGTGTTGCCCACGGTAGGGTCGCTGAGACTGCCAATCCAGTTGTCCGTGCTAAGCGGCTGCAACCCACTGTACACCAAACCCCTGTCACGCTCTGGGCGACCAGCAAAGGCCTTCACGGTATCGTATGGGTGCCTTTCCTGCAGACAATCACTAACGTAGTGACGCACGTTGCGTGCTGCCTCCGCCATTTACCGTGTGCTCCCTCCCTCCTTCACCGCCACACCAACTATGCTAGGCAACTCAAAAAAAAAAAGGCAAGCATAAGACCGTACGCCACAAAACCAGAGCGGCATTCACAAATACATACAGAAAAAGGGAGGAGGGACAGGAAGAATCCCGGAAAAAAAAAGCACTGACCTCCTCAAGATTCCCTCTCACACAAAAGCGTGCGCTTTCCCAAATGATGTGTTCATGCTTTGCGGAAATAGTGTTAGGGGTTTGTACTCCCTCAAACAAAAACAACTAAGACGGGGCCCTCACAAGCGCTTGGATGATGTGTAGGTAAAATCAAGCAACCAAGAAGACGTTGCGCCTTCAGTCAAAAAGATGAGCGATCAACAGAACAAAAAAAGTGGAAAGAAAGAAAAGATGTGCGCCTTGACGAAGCCCTGCCACCACCACCCCAACCCAGATCTAAAGTGTAGAGGCCCAATACAAGAAGACCACCGTCGGGCTCATTACGCCTAACATTCCATACAGAAGCGTAGATTTATCCCATACACGCACAGACACCTTCGTAAACAAAAGAACTCAAAAGACATACGGCCGTGCTCGCCGTTCTCCCCTTGTGAAATCACAAAATGGCACCCCTTGTGGCCCCACAAACTCCAGATCCCTCAATCCGCGCAGTCCACAAACAGGAGCTTGGCGTGGGGCAGCCAAACAAAAAAAAAAAGCCTCCCTCACGCTGCCTTCCAACGCGGTATCCCTGGAAATAAAAATCACGTTACGGGTAAAAAACACGAAGAATGAAGGAGAAATTGTATCAGTTATTTGGCCTCAGCAACTCGCACATTCTCTTCATGGGCGTGTTCACAACTTTCAAAAGAAGGAAGAAAAAAAAAAAAGAACTCTCTCTCTCACCCCATGCTTAAAACAAAAACGGAAAAAAAAAAGTGAAGGGGCACACGCAGCTTATTTTCGGTTGTTGTTGTTTTTTTTCCGTTTTCAATTTTGTTTTGGTGGTGGTGGTGGGGTGGGGGGGGGTACTTACCTAAAAAAAAATATTCTAATCTGCAGCGTCACAGGGAACAAAAAAACCCATACCTAATGGTTCGCCTTCAGTAAAGCTTCCAAAGTTCATCTTAAAGGAAGATAACGCCGTAACGGTGTAAGTGGCAAGGTCCTCTGGGCATAGCATGGCCTTGGTATCAAGGGAGAGAAGCTCTGTTAGAGCGGGAGTGAGCAGGCCATCAAAGAGCCAGCAGCGCCGCGCTTGTACGTCGTCCCGCGCGGCTTCCGTGAGCTCTACTGAAAGAAATTTACCACAGCATCCATTTAAAGCAGACACGGTGGTAAGTTTCATAGGTTGACAGTGCAGCAACACAACACGCTCAATGGCCAATGACAGCTGCAGCGCCTCACGTAAAGGAAGAAACGAGCTGTCCTGGAAAATAACGGTAAATGGCAACGGTGTTGTATCATACTGCGTTAGACAGAATAGAAACAGTCGCCTCGTTCCCAAGGAAACCAGTTCCCCCAGTAGGCTGCGCATTTGTGTTGCATTAGACTCCGTCACAGTGATCACCTCAAACCCGTAGCGATTCACGAGTACCTCGCGCAGCAACACAAGTTCACTCAGCTCTGTTCCACTCATGACCCCATATTCGCAGAAGAGAACCGCTATGCTTCTCCCGGCCCACTCCTTGACAACTTCACTGGGAACTGTAGTTTGCACCGGCGTCCCCTCTGTTAGAGACTTTACCAGCTCCTTATTGTTGATTGTCCCCCCAAATGCATCCGCTTCCGCAGCTGTGCATATGACAAACTCACGAACATCCTCACCTGACATGACTGTGTCTCTACAACAAAGCTGTAATGAGGAGCAAACTGCAATAGACTGTTGCCCACTTCCATGAAAAGCCTCTAATTGTCTTGCAAAGGCTTTTTTCACGCGTTTCACACGATCACTCAGCAATGGGTCGCCCTTTACCGCCGTGTTTTTCTCAAGATGGAGAATCACCTTACTGACGTTTTGAATATCACTTAGTGTCGTGTGTTCAATGAAATGTTGTTCCTCCGCAAAAATCCTTTTTTCAATTCGCGGCAATAGCAAAAGCTCATTCCTTGCTCCTCCAGGAACGCAATCTCTTGAAAGGTGACTCAAAAGAAATCCAGACGTGTTATCTCTTGACACCGTTCCCCCTGTTTGCTTGCCCATGGCCTGCTCCACGTCAATAGACTGCGCTGCCAGAGCCTCTTCTTGAGAGGAGGGCTCCTTGAGTGCCTCCGCAGCCTTCACCTCTTCCGTGTCCCTAGTTGGGGTCGGTGATCCTCCTGACATCGCCTCTTCGGATTCAGCCCTCATTTCTCCTTCTTCTTCGTCCTCCTCCTCTTGCACCTCCTCCTCATTTTCCTCAGCGGAATTGGGCTCCTCAGAGGTGGTGTCACAATTTGAAATGCGTTGTAAATTTATTTGTTCCCGTATGGATGCAATCGCCTCATGAATAGAGGGTTCTGTGGATGAACCCTCAATGAAGCTCAATAACATAGAGTAGCGGTCAAGCAGCCCCTCTGGGACTGAAGGTTCCCTCAATTGCTCTGAGATCTCCAACAGTAATCGGGCAATATTGTTTTCATCCGTCTCTGCAGCTCCTTCTTCTTCTGCCTGACGATTTACATACGGTACCCGTGACGAATCGCGAGCGGCAGTCTGAGGGTCTTGGGACCCCCCCGATGCATCACAGGGAGTATTGTCTTTCCTATCCTCTGTTTGTGACGCCACATTCGCGCCAGTTTGAACCGCATCCTCAGACTCAGAAAAACCTTCACGTGGCTCTTCCGCGGTCTCATTAGGTGTGTTCCCCTCCGCGATGGGGAGGTTCTCTCTCATTGTGGACTGTATTTGTTGAATAAGGGTGAGAACATCCCCAATCAGATTCACAACCTGTGGATAACGACGCCATGGTATATTTTGCTGGCCAGCCTCGCGCAGCGCGTCCTCCGCCGTTGTCATGGCGGAAGCCATTTCTTCAATCGACGACGGAGGCGATGTGGAGAGTCGGTTTTTTAGCAACGAAAAAATGCGGATGAGTTCCCGAAGGGTCAGGTGGTTCGTCTCACCCGCGCGATTGCTCTCTCCTGAGGCACGCCGTATCTGGGCGTCAAACTCGTCCCGAAGGCGTCTTTCCTGCACTGTGATAAATCCAACAGAGTCGACCATCTCCAAAAGCCCAAGGAGAGGCTGCACCTCTTCTACGGAGAGTACAACATGGTTATTGTTGCTGTTGCGCAGCTCTGACGTGATGTCTATCACCGCCTTAAAAAGTTTTTGTCGCTCCTCCGCAATGTCCTCCCTTCTTGCCACTCCATTTGTCACGGGTACTTCCTCTGCTGCTTCTTCATCCTGAGCATCATCATCTTCGCCCGCGTCATTACCGTCATCTTCGTCTTTTTCATTTACAGCGTCAGCCGTGGTTTCGCCGTGAGCTTGTGCCCCAGTAGCTCTTACAGGTCCTCCAGTCTGAACAAACGATTGGAGTTGTGCTGTGAGACGATGAAGAATGGGCAGCAGTGGAGTCGCTGCTCCGCCTTCTTGCGCACACTCCTCCTTCAGTTCGGTCATCTTTTGCAACAATCGCCTAACAATAACTTGTCGCTGATGCTCGGTTGTGGTTTGAAACCCCTCGGACTGCAAAATGGATAACACCTCTTCCATCTGTGACATCACATGTTGGGGGCCAGCAACATCCTCTGAGGAGTCCTCTTCACGTTTCGCGGCGATACCCTTCAATGTCTCATTGATAGGTGACAAGAGTCGCTCCGCCGCAGCGCGTTCCTGGGAAGGAAGGAGAGACAACGTGGAAGCAATTTTCTGCAACTGCGGGATAATGGATCTCGCGGCACTTTTCTTCGAGTTTATATCAGCCCTCTTAAACTCATCAGAGTTAATGAGATCACCCATTTGCCTGAGATGGGTAGAAATGTTGAGAAAAAGTGGTGTGCGCCCTGGTGCGGCTGACTCCTCCTCCCTTCTCACTGCACTCTGTACAATTTCCTTCAAGGGCTCAATAAGTTCCTTCAGCTGATCAAAACCCTCACACTGCGCGCAACGCTTCTCAATATCGATGAGGCGAGCCAAATTCTGCCGTGCCACCTCACTCTTCTTTCCAGGGGGCATCGTCTTATACTCGTTCGAATTAATGTATTCAAACAGTTTCTCCAATTCCAGTAGCGCATCGTCTATGGCACTGCCTTGCCACTCCATATCCAGTGGGTTTACCTCCGAGGAGTATAAAGGCATTTCCCTGTTTACTTCAACTTCTCGAGGAATATTTTTTACTTCCTCCTTCTCGTTGCCCTGGTTTTCCTCCAACTCTATATTGGCGCCTCGGTCACTCTCCACGAGTGCATTCACATATGCATTGCCCTTTTCAATCATTTCTGCCACAGACGCTGTGGCTTGGTTTAACGGGAGGCCTGCAACCTGCTGACGCAAGCGCCGCATACTCTGCTGCAGCTGAGACAACATTTGCTGTCGTACCGCAGGGGCAGCACGGGCCAAGTCATCCGAGTAGAGGACTTGAATAAGGGCCTGAAGCATAGCAACAATCCCCTGAAGACTTGTCTGGGCACTCCCATTCTCGTCACCTTCTTCAGTGGTCCCTGCACGTACCGACGCCACTTCCTCCTGTGTAAGTGCTTCCATTTGCTCCAGCACCGTAACGATGTTCCCTGACACCTGATTGACGACTTCAATCGCACGGGGATCACTCCACGTGGCTGCCTCTTGTTGAATGTTTCGCACATCCTTCAACATTTCGGAGATGCGAAACAAACGCTCTGCGGGTTCCAGACTTATTAAATGGGATGACTTGAGAGATGTGAAAACGTCCCGTAGTCGCTTTACCATGGGCGCCAGCAACACCGCTTGCGATGCTGAGGCAGCCTGGGTGGCCTCCACCGCCGTTGTCGTCTCTTCTTCCGCCGAACCTCCTCCCTGAAGCTTCTGCAGGACCAACTCGCACTTCTTCCGTAGTGGCTCGCCATACTGTGGCGGCAAGCGACGTGTAACAGCCAGAATATCATTGATCTGAGACTGAACTCTCTCGCGCAGCAACACCACCTGAGGGTCAGATATCACACGCATGTTGGTGGAGTCAAGCACTCGTAAAAAGCTGTCGACCATCTCGTGCAATGTCTTCAGCTGTGTCTCCAAGTCGCTGGGCTCTGCTGAGGCCCTTGTAGCACCACTCCCCTGGGAATGAATAATAAGGGTTTCCACCTTTTTTGCAAAAGGCATTAATTTAGCCTGATGTTCTGGTGAAAACTTTTGCACCTCTCCCAAAAAACCCTGCATCCACTCCAGGCACTCCTGCCGCTGCCTTCGCTGCATGTCAGGTGAAGCATTGTTAAACTCACTTGAAGTGAGTAAACTGCCAATTGCAGTGAGCCTTTTTAAGAAGTCCATAACACGATCTGCTTCAGCCTCATATCTGCCCTCTCCTGGCGCAGAAACGGATTTTACCTCATGCTCCTCACGCGTTGTTTGAGCCTGCAGTTCGCGAAGCCCACGCCGAATAAGAAGCTGGTCGCGCATCTTGGGTGCCAATTTGTTGACGTTATCCCCCTCCTCCAAAAGAAAAAGCACCGACGCATCCACATCATTTTTGCGAAAATTATTTACTGCCTCTTCAGATACGCCGAGCGAGCGAAGCCACTGCGCCACCTGATGTACAGTCCACTGGGGGACCGGCACGTCGTCAAAGGGTGGCTCTTGCTGTCTCTTCCGGGACCTTGCGAGACGTAAAAGTAATATGGCGGTTGGAATCGTAACAGCAGCCGCAGAGGCTACCGCAATCGCACGCGGAGCAAAATGGGGCATCTCCTCCTTAGCAGTCAGTATTTACAGTATTTACAAACCTTCTCTGTGAAGTAGGTCAAAAGTTGTAAAAAGTATACACACACACACAAACAAAAAAAAAAAAAAGAAGAGACATAAGTAAGCAAAGAAAAAGGGGCAGATTTAAAACAAAACAAGAAAGGGAGCGAGAGAGAACTAAAAATAAAATCAACACTTATCCTTTGACTCGTACAGGCAGACACTCACGTCCAGTCGATCCGCACACATACACATATGCAAGAATAGCTCACCCACCCTCACGAGTGCTTCGCATTCTTAGCTTCCCCCACCCCACCCGCGTACTTTATCACCTCTTCTTCTTTCAGATTTGGGTGGGACTTTCATCGCCTTATTACCTCTTCTCGATCCCTCTTCTGCTTCTATCCCTCATTCTCGTCGCCACGGCAATCAGGTCGCCTACACAAAGCCAACATTATCAACCCCCCTGAGGTATTTCCGTTAAATTGTCGCCGGCTAACAAGCTTTTCCTCTTCCTATCACCGCCGAACATTTTCTCATAATAGTAGGAGCCACGTGCAAAATGACTCTTCTCCGTTAAAAGGGATTTCCGGTGCTCCGCAACGAGACCTGAAACGTACACATACGCCGCCAAAGCAAATAGCCAGATGGCACAGAAAACTCCACAAAATACAAGAAAAGACGTTGTAAAGAGGCAAGCATTGCCCATTGGCGTGGAATGGCAGGTGGAAATGGGGCAGGTGCACTGATACAGCCGTAAATCCTTACCCACAAAGCAGCTCTCTAAATCCGTGAAAATCCACCCCTTACTGCCCACCTGGCACATCCCTACTCTTGAGGCCCTAATGATATTGTGAGAAGCGGGAAAGGGGCATCACACGCGGAGAGCATACTGCCGGAATAGATCAATAACAACAGAAATAACACAAAGACTTCATATTACTATTGTTGTTGAGGGAACATGGAAAGGAGTAAGAAGGGGGAAAAAGTAACGAGGATGAGTCCATCTGTGAGCATATTTGTGCGGCCAAGAAGCAGAAAATGTAAACCTACCCCGCCTGTTCAGATGGCCGGACTAATGGACAACCCTATTACGGGCTCGCCCGCAGGCGCTCACGGAGGTCATTTAATTTGTCTCGCATCTTTGCCGTGGCGCCTTGAACAGCAAACGTTTCCCTGCGGACCGCCTCCAACTCCTCCTTCAGCGCAGTCCATTTCGCTTCCTGCTCGACAAATTCTGCCAGCTTCTGTCTGACAGCGTCAATTTCCTTCTGTAGGGAACGCAACCGTGAGACGGTGCCGTGATATGGTTGCATTGACAACCACTTTAAACATTCTTTCAGCACCGAACTTCGTCGATTGAGGGCAACAACCTCCTCCTGCATCTCTTGGTCATGGTAGGTGGAGGCCATCTGCACAAAGGCTTCGCCCCCATCCTCGGAGGGGACCAACTTTAGTTCGAAGGGCGTCTCATTCGTCTCTGCCATTATCGGCAGCAGTGCATCCGAAAGTGGTATTTGAATGGGCCTCGATTTTGGTGTGTCGCCGTACACAATGCGGTCTAGTGCATGAACTGTGTCTGAAAAAAAATTGCGAACTTCGTGTAGCTGCAGCGCGCTTTGTGAAGCGCGTGCCTCGTATTCACGAAGCAATTCAGAAGCTTCAACGGCAAACTGCCGCAATGACTCCGTGCATATGCGTCCAAACTCCCCGGAAAGTGCAGCAATATCGTTTTCAGGCTCCTGCTGCATCTTTTCCTCCAACACACTGATAACCGTGTCATCGCCGTCACGCAAAGCCACCTCGCGAATAACGCTCACAATATGGGCCCTCTCCTGCAGTGCACTGTTTAACGTACAAAGCTGACGCAGTAGTGTTTCCTGCATGGCGACATACCTCTTTAAAAAAGCTATTTGCAGCTCCACCGCCGGAGCTCCTCTCTTTTCTACGGAATCTTTTAACGCATGCCTGAGAGTGTCTGCAGCGCTCAGCCGTTCCAACAAATTATTTGTTAGCGTCACCAACCACCCGCCCTTCACAGGTGTGTGACGCGATTCCGCCACGGAGGTGGTTAATTCTTGAGGTTCCCCCGCCTCACTCAGCTGCTGCAGCGTCGCCGTATCTGTGGCGAGCAGCTTCCTCAAATGAAGCACTTCATGCCCCAGAGTCTCCGTGTAAGATTCCAGCTCCTGGCAAATAACAAAGGCAGAAGCCATCGCAACAGAAGGTACATTCTGCCTGGACACCGCTATGACGTTTGGCATCTGAAGCAGTTGGTGTAACACAGACTCCAAGTGATGTAGTGTGGCCTCCAAGTGTTGATTGCCTAATGCTGCCTCCTGTAACTCTGTAGGTACAGACAGTTGGGTGCCGCTACTTCCGGCGAGGGCTCGACTGGCGGATCGGGTATACCACTCTAACGAGCTCCGCGCCAGCTCACGCAGCGAGGATGCTTCCGCCTCCGCACACGCTTGCAAGGCCTTTGTGGACTTGTACATTGTGTCATATCGTGACATCACTTCTTTTAGCATCGTCCCCAGCGCCTCTACAAGTGGGAGCGCTATATGTGTCGTACCTTCAGTGCGCAGCTTATCTATCGCCTCCTTGCAGAGCTCAAAGCGAAGTTTTTCTGCCTCTACATCAAACGCCGTAAGATCTGGGAGTTCAGATGGTGTGCCAATAATACAAGAGAGAAGGCGTTCCTTGAGGTGGGGGGGGAGGCTTCCTTCACTATCCCGAGCATGTAAGCACTCTGCAAGGTTTGTGACGGCCTGCTGAAGAACCCCGTTCTTCCTCTCAACCTCTCCCAACAACTCCATCGCCTCATTACTTGTATGGCACGCAGTAAACGCTGCACTATGTGCCTTTTGCAAGCCATTAATTTCCTCGAGTATGCGTAGAATAGTCTTCCTCAACAGCTCTACAGTCTCACGTAGTTCTCGATTATTCTTTGACATGTGATCAAGCTCATCACTACGGCGTTTCTCCTGCTCCTTCACCGCCGATTCCAAACCCGCTGCCTTCACAACTAGTGCATTGAACTCGTCCTCCTCCTGACGCTCCTCGTATCCCATAAGGATATCCTCCACCGAAAGAAGTCCCACGCCGGATGTATCTCCATTAGTCTCCGAAACCATCTCCTCCTGTAACTGAGTACCCTCGTTGCTAATCGTGGCAACGGTCGCGATGGCGGGAGTTGCGCCTGGCGCGGGACCAGGCTGGACAGTGACAGCCGCCTCCTGGGACGAGCGCTCACGCGTTGGATCTTCTACAGCCGCCTCCTCACGCCCTCTTTTCCTGGAAGCGACTTCCACGAAAGGTGTGGTCTCGTCCTCCTCATCCTCCGCAAAGGGATTATCCTCAAACGCCGACAATTCCATCCGCTACTGTGCAATACCAACAACTCCCTCCCCCCCACCAAGAAAAAAAAAGCGCAGAACAAAAAATATATATATGGTGAAGAGGCCTCATGGCAAACGCAAAGGGAAAAGCAGGCAGAACCAAAAAAAAAAAATCAAAAAAAAAAGAGGCGGGAGCCAAATGTCAAACCGCTTCTTTCATGAAATTCGTGCCTCTTTGATAACCAGTTTATTCCTTTGTGTGTGTATGTGTGTGTCTTGTTGTTTTTGTTGTTTTCTTCCGTTTCTTGCACATATTTTTTTTATTTTGATGTATGTATGTGTGAATGTGTTGACGGGCAACTCCGGTCACAGCGTCTCCCCTCGCCCTTGTCATTCCCCGACACTTTCTGTCCGGCGGCCACCTCTGGTCGGTCGAGGAGCAACGTCGGCGGGATGGAGACGCAGCAACGCCAACAAATTTGTCTTTTTATACTGGAGTATATCGTGTGTAGAGTGGCGCGGACAGCAGAAGTCATCGAGTGGAGCAGGCGTAAAGGATAGAGTGAAGGAGAGAGAAAAAGAGAAAAACAACCCAGATTACTCCCCTAAAATGGGCGGAAGATCAGCAGCTGCGACCAGCGTAAACCTTGGCTCGTGCATGGTGCGCTCGTCACGCTCAAATCCTCGGCCACCGTTCTTCGTAGTACAACCCTCCAACACGGCATACCTTAGCTCGTCAAACGCTTCGGAAAACATATTCTTCTGTAGAAGTCGCCTACCGCTTCTATCCTTTACCCCTATAAGAAAACAACTACCTTTCAGACATCGATTGGATTGTGCTCCGCCTCTTAATGAGCCATCATTTAACTTCAGAGGATATGGACGAGCATCCACGAGACGCTCCACAGCGTAAATTAGTATCCGAATTTTACTCATCACGTAGGCGCTCCAGGCGGCAAGAGCCACTTCCACTTTTTTATCCGTTTCTTCTTCGCAAGAAACATGGACCACAAGAAAAGTGGAATAGTCCTCCCATATGCGATAGGGCGCCCATATCTTCTCCAGAGGCGTCTCCAAGTTGGACAAAAGGCGATACGCATATGTTAACTCTGTGTAAAAAACTTCCAAACCGCAGCGACCGACGTTGCGAGCGTCGTTGACGTAAGGGTAGGCGGGATTGATAACAGGTAACAAATCTTCACGGCATGCCTCTCGCTGCGGGGACCAGGAATCTGGAAGGCCTGGAATACGACCCCGGGCTTGTAGAGATGCGGTGATATACACTGGAGAGATACGATCATGACGACTCAGCCATTGAGTGTAAAACAGGAAGAAAAAACGTAAAACAACGTTGGGGTGAGACGCAGGCATGACTTGACAAACACGAGCCACCATCACGGCAAGCACCACGCCACTTGGGTATGAAAATAAACTTCCATAAACATGCCGCCTCACAGCCCACAACTTCACGGCTCTAAGTACTGTCGTGAAGACGCCATACGCCACCGGCACACGCCGCTTTAATTCCAAGACTGTACGTAATCCATTTGCACTGGGGCGGGTTACACGGGCAACCTGAAGGAGGAAGGAATCATCTAAGAGTTGCTCGATGGTGGGTGGAGCGGCCAGAGCCACCGATACAAACACAACATCTACAGAAGTGTCCCCGCAACTGAACTTCACCACAGGAACTCTAGCTGAAACCACGACCACGCATCCCACCAAATGCTGTAGCAATGGAGGGAATTCACGAAAAAACACCTCTGCTGTGACCTTAAAAGGACAAAACAGCACACTACCCAAGGACACAGCGTCGACAGATGCACGCAAGGCGGAAAGTGAGGAAAAAGGAGAGGGGTAAGAATCTCGACACAGCGCGGGCGTTTCAAAAGAAAAGCCCGACACGGAGAGAAAGCAAAGGAAAAAAAAAGGAAAGAAAAGAAGTTGTTAGCGGTGGTCCAGAAAATGTCAGAAAAGGGGTTAAAAAAGGAGAAAGAGAGGAAGGCGGATCCCAACAGAGAGGCGGTAGCACTACAAGAGAAGGGAAGTGTCGCGTGGAATCCAACAAAATGTGCAAGATGAGGCCACAAAAAGTGGGAGGAAAGGGGGTAGGAAATAACTCACCATACATATCAAGATCACTATCTGCAACAGAGGCATTCAGTCCGCAAGAACCAAATGGATGGGCTCGCACCCAGCGCTCTTCTGGGTTTGTGATAAGGCGTTCTACTAGACGGTAGGCTGCAAACTCGATAAGGTGAATCGCCTCACTCACCCTGGTATCAGGCACAGTCGCCATCTCCTCGCAGAGTTTCTTGGACTCCACCAAGTCACGTGGCTGTGCAGGAGGAACTTCAAGTGGTCTCGTCGGTCCGTACAGCGGCTCCATTTTTCCCACCTTCGCTACGAGAGATTACCGAGGGTGCTTCCCAAGAAATAAGCAAACAATAAGGCAAAGAGCACTACAAAACAATGTATTTAAAACAATGAGATCATTGCAAATTAGAAAAAGAAATTAAAAAGCAAAACTTTCGCACATTACACAAAAAAAAAAGAAAAACTCTATCGAAATCTTCTGGATCAGTCAAAAATGACGAAGTAACTAACACACTAAGAAAAAGTGTATCTCGGTTACATCAATCAAGAATAGCGAAACAAAAAAAAAAAATGGAAAAATGGCAATGAAAACCACGCCAATATAAAGAACAACAAAAATGGAGAAAACAGACGAAAAAAAAAAAAAAAGAACGCTCCCTTGTATGCTGTTCCAATAACTATCTTCAGCCTCCACCACAGACTCAGGCACCTCGTGGGCAAGCGCCAGTAAATGGAAGTTTTCCATTGGAATTTGCCAACAGTTTTCCCACGTCCTGGTGCAGCACACTGGTCGGGTGGGGGACCACAAATTTATCCCCCGTAGACACTACAATGGCCTGTCCGTCAACCAGCTCCTCAATTGAAGTGATCTCACAACCGGTAGCATCATATAATTTTTCAACTTTCTTCCCCATAGAATGCCACTCCAAATCACGTTCGATGGTGTTGAAAATCGCCCTCATCGTCTTATGAATAGGACGAAGAGTCACCGTGCGGAAAGGAAATGGGTCGCAGCGAGAATCACCATACTCTCCATTCGAGAAGACCCGCACAGAAATGGGTTTCACAATGCCTTTTCCTAAAACCCTTTGCCGGGTTGGCTGTCCGCTCAGGCTGGGAGACGATTTTGAGGGTTGTGCTATCAGAGCCGAAGAAGTGGCTGCCGCCACAGGTGCCTGTTGTAGCTCCAACTTTGAGGTATGAACAACAACATCCCCCGTCATGGCTGGGGCCGCTGTGGGTCGAATAACTTTCTCCATCCCAAGAGTTCTCTTTGTCTTCAGCGTCGTTGTCGATATCGTTGGCCTAGCGCTCTTTAATTTGTTGTTGACTACGGGCTCAGGACTGTAGGCATAGCCAGGTGTCACCACGTATGACATCCCATTGCGAATGGCATCCACCCTCGTGATCTCTACTCCATCTGTCGTAAACAATCGTTTCGCTGCATGACCCACGAGATTCCATTTCAGCTCACGCGTTATCCTGGAAAGCACTGCCTGTAGCGTGTCAATTTCCTTTTGCAAGACTATTGAATTAAACTTCAATCCTATTTGGTGTGGAAGCGCGCCTGCCACCCTACAACATTTGCTGCCAAACCTAGGAATCCTTGTAGTCGTATCGCTCAGCGAAAACCTTGCCTTGTAGACTGTAGGGCAATGTGTGGGGATGGCACTGTCGTTGGTGCCGCTTGTCAAGGTACTTTCCCGTCTTTTTTCGGGTTTGTACGTCATAAAATCTACGCGAGGGGTCTTAAGAAGATTGTCCTGCTCAACTCGGCCCATCAGCGGCGCGCTTGCAGCCGCGTCAAAATGGATTGGACTCCCCAATTGTTCCCTTGCAGAAACCTCTCCCCGTTGTCGCCCCGAGAGCACCTCTTTCACAAGACCGATGCTCAGATCCATCCTTGCACCCGACTTCAAATTTTCAGGACCCGTTTGACATGGAGCATGGGCTGGCTGACCCAGATCTGTAAGGAACGGAGAGTTCTCCTTGGGTTCCTCTTTGGAAACATCCTCCTGTGCCCTGCTATCCCTCTCCACTGCCGGGGGAAGCAATGTTGTTCCTTCTTTATTGGCAGCAGCAGTTGTTGTTGTACCAGTCACAGCAGAGAAAGAGTCCACCAGTGTGGTTGGCTCGGACTTACTCAGCCTTAGGTTATTCTTGCGGGGAGGCATACTAATTGTGCTCCAGGAGGGTTGTGGAAGAGGCTCAGGCTTCGGTGGAGGTACAAACTCCGGAACGTGAAGGTCTTCCGGATCAGTGTGGGTCTCCTTGTGTGTCAACGGTGGTGCAAACGCCTTTTTTGACCTTGAGTTTTGTTCCAACGCGAGGCATTCAGTTAAAAACACTTTGGTTGCACCATCGGCAAAAACAAGTTCAACGGCTGATTTGCCCTGAAACGAGGGCAAGATGCAGACAACCTTGCCTTTCTCTCCTAGATACACCTGTTTCAGAGGATCAAGAATGAAGATCCCGCTCTCTGCTGTAAATAGAGCGCGTGCGTCGTCAATTGTTTGAACGTAATCCCCAACGGAAACGATAGTTTGGCCCACTTGTAGTTTTGTCGTCTCTTCCTCCTTCGCTTTCTTTCGTGCAGCTTCAGCTATCTCTGCGGGTGTCATTTCCGCATTCCTTGAGGCAAGTTCTTCAAAGGCTCGCTGCTCCCTCTCCCGCTCCTGACGAAGCAGCCCTATCTTTTTCTGAATTTCTTCACGGCGGGAAGCTGCTGAACGCATCGCCTCAACTCTAATGATTTCGACAGAATATCCACCAACACTTTAGGCAAAGCAAAACAAAAACATAGGTACAAAACATAATTCCATAAACGCTTCACGCAGAAGCAAAAAAGAAAGAGCACAGTAAACTCTCATTAAACCATCCTATTCCCTGCAGTATAAACTAGTTAGTTTAAACAACAAACATCTAGTTACCAAATGAATTCCTAAACGTTCTATCAGGAACAGCTGAGCCAAACACGTTCTTGGAAAACGAGCCGCCGCCACCGTTGCTACCAAAGCTGAAAGGATTCGACGGGGCTGCAGGTTTGTCGGCAGGAGCTGCACCGCCGCTGCCGCTGCCGCTGCCAAAGCTGAAAGGATTCGACGGGGCTGCAGGTTTGTCGGCAGGAGCTGCACCGCCGCTGCCGCTGCCGCTGCCAAAGCT